CTTTTTTGAAGATAGCAGAATCGATATCTTTTGAGTTATCCTCGCAAATCTTGAGAATGATGTCCCATTGTGTGACATACGCTTCCAAACAGTCGTCCACGCTGTTCCAGCGAACATTGCTAGGTAGTACTAGTCCCTTGCCTCCAGCTGCACTGAATTTGGCTTTGGCCATGTGATTGTTGCCATGAAATAATTGACAATTTGGACTATGTGTTCTTTGACATCTTGCAACTGTAAGTCCTTACAAAGCAGATTTAGTAAATTCGAAGAGCAACAGTAAGTTATGACTTCAAAGTTGGTCCGTTCTTCTAACGTTTTCCTCATTACGGTCATATTAGCGAAATTGTCCGTTGCAAAAGAGCTTAAAGGTTGGGAAAAAAATGATTTTTCGGTTTTGTTGCAGAACTGCATTTGTAATGGTCCAGCTCGTAGGACCAAAATGTAATGGTCTCGCTGGGCCAAATGATGCGGGCAAGATCCGTAAAAAGGAGGGAATTTCTGCGTTTCGAAGGACCAATGCGATTGTTGAGGGACGAGTGTTTAGTGGGTCCAGTTGGAAGCAGCTGCAGGAAATAATAAAGCTCGGACGATTCTAATGTGCCTACCTAGCCCTGGTAAAGACCGTTTATTGTCTAAGCGTGAGCAGTTTCCAGTTTTCCTGATTGCTAGTTGCCAATGTTGTCGGCAAATATCCCCTAAAAGTTGCCCACGGTCTGCAAGTCAAAGTCACCTACTTCTAATGGAGTACTTCTATGCGGTGATGTCATACTAGGGAATTATTCCCTAGTTCTAGGGATTTCTCAGGCAGAAGGAAAAAGGGATTTGTTAAAATTATCTAGAAATGTCTTGTTTATCTGCAAAAAAAGTAATTCTGGAAAGAAAATATTAATATGTCGGACTACAGAAGGTTAACAAGTAGAGAGGAGCCACAATTTATTTTAAGAAATCTCAATTAATTAAGAATCTTCTTTAAGGTCTTCAATTTTCCCGAAATTATCTTTATTGCGATGCAAAAATCACCTGCAGTGAGTGTGATTTGCAACTGCCTCATCTACATATAAACTTTGTCAAATTCATACTTAAACTAAAGCTTGAAGTTAAGAGAATAAATAAGAAGAATTCAAATTGGAGGAAAAATATTGGTTTAATTTTTTATTTTTTTATTTTGTAATTTTTAGTTTCCAATAACCTTTTACGTTTCACTTACCATTTTTTATTAAACAGTTTTATTTATATTTTTTTTGAAAATTTAGGGAAAACAAAATTTTTTAAGTGACCATGTGGTTATTTAAATTTTACCGATCTGGCATTACTGCTTCTATGTGGTTCTTCTAAGTTACCTATGTGCACCATGCATTGAAATTCTATTGGCAACACTGAAAGAGGACGACATTACAAAAACTATCCAAAAATTTACTGGCAGTGTTGCCTTGCAAGTGTGCTTTTAGAGTTAAAAGACGCTAAAATAGAGAAATTTGGACAGAAATATTAAACAAAATATATTTATTTAGTGGTTAGGTATTAAGTAAAATTTATTCACAAATACTTATGTATTATATATCAATATATATATTATTATGTCTCAAAACATTTATAATAAGTAAACACATAATATACTGTAGGTCTCATTTAAAAAATCGCCCATTTGTCGCCATGTCGCAGAATAAAAAAATTGGTCGCAAACCGATTATTAAAATCGCCCAATTGGCGATAAATAGGTGAGCTCGATTGTGACCTTTAAGTGCCGTTTACACGCTCAATCAATCTGAAAGATCTGGCTTGCACAAGCCCGATCGCTCAAGCAAATACGTGTAAACGCAGATCTGAAGTTTGCGACCGAAAAAACCGAAAAATTTGGATTGGGAAAAATCTATCCTGACAGAAAATCCACTTCAGATCGTTCTCTTGAGCGTGTAAACGATGTTCAAGGCAGGTTTATGCGTTTCGAATTAAATATTACGCTGTATATGCGGAATTCTCTTTGTTGTATTATCGTTTAAAGCATTTACTTCATAGTTACTAAGAATAACAATGTTAAGCACAAAAATATGTACTACTAGTAAAAAAACGTTATTTACAGATCGGGAAGGTATTATTCCATAAGAATGTACTACTACTGCCTACCTACTTATTTACTACCTACTGCAGAATTTCCATAGATTCTGTAGTAGGATGGGTGCAAGTTACAAGTACATTAGCCGTCATTTTCTTTAGACCTCCCATTAACTTGAATTTAACATAGTTATCCATATCTTCTTCCAATAAATAATATTAAAGTTACATAAAAATATGTGCTAATTTTCATATTGCATGACCAACATAGTAGGTATTTAACGTAAATACACGACGATAAAACGAGATTTTTCCATGGCAGATACTTGTTTCTTCTTTTTATCCTCTAGTATACCAAATAACTATTTTTGAGGTGATTATTTATATTACTATAATGCAGCTGAGAAACAAACAAAATACAAATTTAAAATATGCGGGGTGTTCCGTAAATATCTTAAAATATTTTAACAGCGTGTTCTCCTAGCCATTTTAGAAAGGGGTCTTTCTGAGAATTTTTTTAATTTGAGGTCTCATTTTTGAGACATTTGATCTCCAAAATAGCGAAAAATATTAGTTTTTCTTCTTTTTCTTTAAAACGGTTGAACATAGAAACTTTTGGGAAACATTTTTGTATACATTATAAGCTAATTGACTTCCATTTTATGATAGTGTTTCGTGGTTTAGTTTGCTTTTATACAGGGTAGAAATGTAGAATCCCTACTTTTGTTTTGTTCAGAACTTTTTTGTATGCACTTTTATCAACATAATTTTTTTAATTACCACAAGTTACTTATCAACTTTTTTATTTCTTATTGTTTTTTCTTTAGGGCACTAGTTTGCCCGCAAAAAAATTAAATCGGTTCGGCTACATCAAAACTTTCCAAGCCGTTGGATTGGGAGAGGTCAAGAAGCTCCTATAAACTAGCCTCCTAGATCTCCGGATCTAAACGCGCTTCATTTTTACTTCTGGGGCCATTTAAAAAATACGGTGAATTCAACAGAAGTGAATACAATTAAAGAACTTCAGGAAAAAATATTTAATATTTCTATTGAAATAAAAACTTCAGTGCAAACTTTACGGTGTATATATTTTAATTTCATTAAAAGACTGCGATTATGCCAATAATGTCAAGGTGACCAATTTGAACAGCTGAGAAGTTAACATTAGAATGGTTATTTACATGTAATTTTGTTTGTTTATATCGTTGCGCATATTGTTACCATGTTTTATTTAAGTAAAATTTATTCAAACATAATAATTGTAATCTGAACCAAAATACACAATTTAGAAAAATAATTTAGGTTGTTAGTAATCAACTAATAAAGCATACCAAATTTGCTAATATAAAAAATAAAATAAAAATACTAGATTTTAAAAAATTAACTTAATTACTTACACATTTTGAGAACAAAAAAGAAAAAAAATTTTTTGGGTAAACTAGTGGCCTTAAGAAAAAACAATAAGAGATAAAAAAGTTGGTAAATAACTTTTAGTAATTAAACAAAATATGTCAAGAAAAGTTTAAATGTACACAAAAAAATTCTGAACAAAACAAAAGTAGCGGTTCCACATTTCTACTCTGTATTAAAGCAAACTAAACCACGAAACACTATCATAAAATGGCACTCAATTAGCCAAAATTGAACTTTCTATGTTTAACCATTTTAAAGAAAAACAAAAAAACTAAATTTTTTCGCTATTTTGGAGATCAAATATCTCAAAAATGAGACCTGAAATTAAAATAATTGTCAGGAAGACCCCTCTCTAACATGACTAGGAGAACACGCTGTTAAAATATTTTAACATGTTTACGGAACACCCTGTATATCTGTAATACAATAGACAAAATCAAATCTGTTTTTCATTTATACTTAGATACATTAAAATGATCTTCACATACATGGGCAGTAGTCTTCTCAGAATTATCCTTGTGAGCTCTTCTGCATGAATTTAACCATTTTAAACGCCGGCTTTTATCTTTTTATCTCGTGGTACACGAATAAATAGCTTATGTGGTGTTTTGTAGTTGTACTAGGGCACAGTGGCACCATACAGCATTTGTAATATTGTTTTTGTGTTGCTTCCATTATTAATAAAGCACAGCACGAATTTTGAACAGTCAAACAGCCAGTCCAATTCAACGACAAGAAGTACTCCTGCATTGGCTTTCGATCGAACGAACTAGCGCTATGACGTCACGACCATTTCCGCGCGTTTAGTGTAGTTTCAAATGAATAGCCGGCGGTCCCAACATTAATTGCTTATTGCAAATTAAATATTGCGATTTGAGAGCTGATATTTGGGGACTTAAAAAATGTTCAAGTTCCCAGTTGTGGTTCGTGTGCAAGCACCAAAGTCGCCGGATCTTCACGAATTGTCGAGCGTCAAAAGTCGCCCGTCTGCGAGTGCTCTATCTTAATGTGACCGACCAGGGGGAGACTAGATTTCCGATGTTCACGACTTTGTGAGCTTGGTGACCACTTTCGAATATGTTTACGTGACTTTGGGAACACTTCTTTTCGACTACGATAACCTTTCAGTTGGGATAACTCACTGTGACTTCGATAGTTTTTCGGCTGGGTAATTCACTCCAATTTGTGACTACCTTTCGGAATGTGAAACCGGTTCGATTGGGATAACTGCGATATGTAACTTCGATAACATTTCGATTGAGATAACTCACTGTAACTTTCGCGATAGTTCGGAGACTTCTTTGAGTGTGTGTTCGACCGTTCGACTTGTAGCTTGTAGCCCTTGATCGACTATGCCTCTAAAACTAACTGCTAAACTTAAAATTTGATCATTTTTCAACTGAAACCCGGTTCACGGCAATGGAAATTATGGAAACAAAAACTACTTTCTAATTTTACAGACAATTGAAAACAAAAAGGCTTTTTTGAGTTTTTTTGGAAAATGGCACAGGTTTTGCTTAAAAAATTGAAATCCGTTGAACTGTCCGAGAAAATTAGCGTTAAATTTAACATTTAATAAAATGAAAGTGTAGAAACGGTGCACACCAATGGTTTCTCTTTAACACTTTAAAAACAAAAAATATTTCAGATTTTATATGCAGTTCGGAAGAAAAACACTACTTTGGCTTTTTAGCGGAATTGCACAGTTTTTCAATAAAAAATTAAAATCCGTTGGACTGCTAGAAAATTTGCGTCAAATTTAACATTTGATAATTTCTCAGCCAAAAAACGGTAAACGTCAATGGTTTTTATGCGAACAAAAATTTGTCTCTAATTCTGCATTCAGTGGGGCACAAAAATGCTTTTTTGGGATTTTTCTCTAAAATGCACAGTATGTGGATAAAAAAAATAATCCGTTGTCCTATCCGAAAAAATGTTTGCTATATTTAACATTTCATAATTTCAAGGCATAGAAACGGTGCACACCAACATTTTGGCGGTAGACGCAAACACCTATCAAATTCTACATATAATTGGGCTCAAAAAAGCTCTATTGGGTTTTTTGCTAAATTGCCCAGCTTCAGATTAAAAGAAGAAAAACCGTCGAATTGTCCGAGAAAATAAGCGCTATATTTGCACACCTCACACTTCTGTTAGGTAGTTTCCAAGAAGTGTTTTCCAGCCTTAGCTGCTTCACGGTCTAGAAATGCGATAAATTTAAGTTTTAGTTAACTACCGTACTCAAATATTCAAGTGTCTATTAATAGGTTTACACATATCACATTTTTGTGCATACAAATAGTTGGACTATTTTTAAAACGATCGGCAAACTTGATGTTTAATAACGATTCAGTATGGGAAAATTCACTGTGTAAATCCCCAGCTACTCACTTATAGAGACAAAGAATGCCCTCTATAGAGCAAGAATCCAGTCACTTCGAGTCTATTGATTCTTTTGGAGTTGGCTGATTCACTTGAGCGAAAGTTCACTTTTGAAAGTTTAGAGCCCATGCGCTAACACCCCCCACGTTTTCCATCGATTTTCTTATCGCACGTTTCAAGCCCCCGCAGGAAGCGCTTTTTCTCATCATCTCACCGTTTTCGTTCCACTTTCTATGCGTTTCCAAAATACAATGCTGAAACATCCTGCTACTGAAAATAATGTAAATTTTCCGATACAGTGCGCGTTTCTGGAACAATAAAATGGCATTTGCAAATAGTTCGGCGCTGAAAACTCCCACGGCTCTGGAACAGCTTTTAGAAGAGATAAATTTCCAGAGAACCAAGGAAATGCGTCAACTGTTGAAAGATGGTAGGCACACAAATGGGCAGCAGGGTTTTTGGGTAAGACATTTTCATCTGGTTTCTAGATTCAGGATTTGTGATGCTCCAAGGCACAACTTACTGGACCGATCTGTTTGTGCGGCACTTTCTATTCCAGAACGATTCCACCATCGATTGTGATGATTTGTTGTTTTTCGTCCGGAAAAAACACGTCAAAGGATCTCCGAGATATTTGCCGAAGTTCGAGGTAATTTTGATTGAACGTCGCTGTGTGTTTAGTGTCGTTAAGTTGGGCTGGGTTTTAGTTGGGGATGAGGAGTTTTCAAAAATTCTGTGGCACCTTGAAACCCAATTCCATATAGAAACTTTTTAGTCTTTTAAGAGTTTTTCGAAAAATGCAGTATTCTTGCGCAAAAGGGCAAAAAATGATCGAAATCATGTAGAAATTCGTATTGGCTTTGACAACTTTTGCAGACTAAGTTTAAATTATTTATTCCTGTCGAACCAACTTAGCTGGAAAAGTCCCTGTTATGGCGGATAATGGAACGCACTAAAGTCTACTGTCACCGTAAGGTTCAGCTCAATCTTAATATTTTCTGAGTTTTTACGAATTTTTGAACATCCTAGTGCAGTTTTATATCAGCAACTCGTTGCAGCTTGAGTTGCAATAATTTATTCCTGCGGAACCAATCAAGCCGAAAAAAGCGTTTTGCAACCTTTCATAGAAGCTTTTGCCTACTACAGATGTGGCTAAACTGATTCAAATCGCACATTTTTCTGAGCTTTGGTGAATGTTTCAACCTCTGAGTGCACAGTGTCAACGACAACTCTTTGATACCAAGTTTATGAATTCATTTTTGCAAAACCAACCCAGTGTGGAAAATTTGTCTTACGGCATTTAAACGCTCGCTCAGTTTCCTTTTGATGCCATAAATTGCATTTCCGTCACGCTTTTTTGTCAGATTTTACAACTTTTTGATCATCAGTGTCCATTAGGAGCGGCAATTCGTTGTAGAGTGAGTTTAAAAAATGCATTCCGGCAAAATTGGTCACTGCAAAAAGGCGCCTTTTACAGAATTTAACAGCGCACGTTTTTCTCAACTACTGTAGAAAAACTGACTACAATCGTTTTTTTTCAGAAACTTTACTGATTTTTTCTTTTTTTGTCCATGAAGAGCGACAATTTGTTGCAGGAGTGAGTTTTAAAAGTTGATATTTACAAATTCTATCGAGATAGAAGAGCATATATTGTGGCATTTAAGAGAGTGGATTTTCATTTACTAAAGCCACAAAATTCAGTTCAATCTTCAGTCTCGGGAAATTTTACGAATTTTTAAACGTCCGAGTGCCTAGTAAGGGCAATTCGAGCAAGTTGAATTTCAGAAATTAATTCCGTAAAAAACTATAGAGGTAAAAAATTGCTTGTTATGGCATTTAAAAGTGCATCTTGCTCTGTGCGAATGCACAAAAACAAAATTTTAGACATTTTTTATCATCTGAATGTACATGAAGAACGACAATTTGTTGCAGGAGTGAGTTTTAAAAGTCGATTCCTGCAACCTCTATTGAGATAGAGAAGCCCATGTTGCAACATTTAAAAGAGTGCATTTTCATTTACTAAAGCCACAAAATTCAGTTCAATCACGCTGTCTTGGGAAAATTCACAAACTTTTTAACATCCGAGTGCCTACTAAGAGCGGCAATTCGTGCAAAGGTGAAATTCAAAAATTTATTTCGGAAAAACTTATAGAACTGAAAATATGCTTTTTATGGCATTTAAAATGCCATAACAAGTGCGGACATTTTTATGTAGTAATTCAAAAAAACTAAATTGGAACGTTTATTTTTTTGCAATTTTATGAATGTTTGATCAGCTGAGTGTCCATGAAGAGCGACAATTCGTTGCAGCAATGAGATTCAGAATAGCATTTCTGCAAACCCAATCCAGATACAACAGTGGGTTTGATGGCATTTAGAAGCGGGTATTCTACTTTAATACCTTAAAGCTTATTAAATGCTTAATTAAGTGCGGCAATTCGTGCGCAAACTGAATTTCAAAAATGAATTTCGGAAAAACTCTCGAGATATTATAACGCAGGTGGCGGATTTAAAAGAGCATATTTTGCGTTACTAATTCCAAAACATTTTGTTAAATCGAGCGTTTTTCTGAAATTTTACATATTTTTAAATTTCTGAGTGGGGCCTTCTAAGGGTGGCAATTCGCGCAAAGTGAATTTCAAAAATTAATTCCCGAAAAACTTATTGAGATAGAAAATCGCATGTTACGGCAGTTTACAGAGAGAATTTTCTCTGACTGATGCCCTTAAAATTGAGGCAAATTCCCCTTTTTCGGAAACTACGAATTTTTTTACATCTTAGCATTAAGAGCCCCAGTTCGTGGCAGAATGAGTTTCAAAAGTTGTTTCCCGGAAAACCTGTTGGGACAGAAAAGCGCATGTTGCGACATTTAAAAGAGCACATTTCCCTTTAATTATACCTCAAAAATTAGATTAATGGCGCGATTTTCTAAATTTTACAATTTTCCCATTAAGAAATTTAATATGTTTTGCAGAGTGAGTTTCAAAAATGCATTTCCAAAAAACATATCGAGTCATAAAAACACATGTAACGGTATTTAAAGAGCACGTCTTGCTATAAAATTGAGTAGAATCGCGAAATTTTTAAACATCTGAGTGCCGCTTTATTGAGTTATTGAGTTTATTATTAGAGTATTAACAGCCGCAGTTTGTTGCAGAGTGAGTTTCAAAAATGTATGCTCAAAAAGTTGCCACAAGAACGCGTCTTACAGCCTCTGAAAGAGCACATTTGTCTTTGTTAATGCTGCAAAATGTAGTTCAGTGGAATTTTTTTCTGAGATTGTACAAATTTAAAAAAATTGAATCTGTGTCGTGTCAATTGAGAGTGAAATCTCATTGTAACTTGGATTTCAATCATTTATTCCTGCAGAACAGATTGAGCAGCCAAAATCCCTGTTATGGCACTTGGCAAAGCGCACTTTTACCTCTTAATGTGGCATCATCCACTCATGAAACTCGCATACGCTTTTCTTTGCGGTGGATTTTGAGAATAAGTTTACTTTTTATTGTTTGTCTGCCTGGATTGATTCGTATCCGGACGCGATAAAACTGACAGAAAATGCATTAATTTAGCGTTTTTTATTAATATTTACAATAGAAAAAGTATACGCGATCGGATTAAGCTGTAATTCCAAGCAAATACTTTCGTTTTGAGTAAGTTGCGTGAAATTTATTGCTTTACTGCACCAGTAAAAATTTACAACCCAATGTAAAATAACATATTATTTATCCGTGGTTTATAGATTAGCGCCATTGTAGATTTAGGGCGCTTTATTAACTGTTTTTTTAACATCTGAATGGAATTTTGGCCGAAACTCATTGAGGATTAAGGTTGTTGGCCAAATTTGTTACTTTGCTTTAAATCACATGGAATTCCAGACAGAAGTGGATGTTTTCCGGAAAGACAGCAAAAAGCTTCCCATTGGGGACCCGGACATCGATTGGGAGGAAACCGTCTACCTCAACCTGATCATACACCAGTTTGAATATACTTTGACTTTGGCCATTTGCACGCGAACCAGCCCGAAGGAGCTGCAAGTCCTCAAAAGACACTCGCAGGTGATTAATTGGGGTTTATTGTCCCAAAGCGCTCTAACTTCAGTGATTTCAGAAAGTCTACGCGTCTCCTAGTAGGAGAAGAATGGACACCAAGGGCGACGTGGAGGAGATAACGTACCCCCACATTTGCTTCATGGTGGACAACTTCGACGAAGTCTTTCAAGACATTCTGGTGCGAGATGGCGAAATGGTCTGCGTTGAACTGGTGGCTGCTGATAAAGTGGGAACCGTTCAAGGCGTGATTTTTTTGGGTTCCATCCGATACGACGCCCTAAAGAAAGTCTACGACGCACGGGTAAGTTCAGTTAAAATGTTGGGGGATTTTAGATAATTTTTTAGCATCAGCTCAATTGGAAGACATTGGTTTATAACCGACAAAATGTGGCCTATAGGCCTGCCGCTCCCCATGCACTCTTGTCCGTTTGCGCCCACTATGCCGCTGCTGTTGCATCGGCCGTAAACTTTTCTATGCCGAAGTCACTAGGAAAACTCATTCTATTAGGACCAGATTATAAATGTTTGCTTGGAGTTCCGTATGACTCTAAATAGTTAAAGCTTTTGCGGTTATTTTATGAACAATCGGTAGATGGGAATTTGAACCTGACGTTTCTCTAGCGAACAACACTCTGAAGATGCCGAAGAAACTTATATCGATAAACGCCTAATAATTTCGATCAGATGATTTTCGCTGCTGAGTTTACAAATCCGCCGTTTTGCATGGCCATAAATAAATAATTTAATAGTTCGATAATCACATGTTTCTTCCACTTCGGATTAAGCCTCTATATTAATAGAAGGCTGACGGATATCCTGGATAGTCAGTTGTTTAAACAAGTGAATGTTGCATCGGTCACTAGTGCTTTTTTCAGCAGGAAATAATTCCTAGTTTGTCCGGATTTTCCCATTAGTTCCGGAACTACTATCAATGGCGGTTTCACACGTTTCTGTGTATTTAACAGCGTGCGTACTTCGCCTTAAACATTTATAATAAAATAACATTTAATATCAACAATGTAGCGCTGAAGTGAGCGTCATACTTGGCAATTGTTTAAGCTGGAATGATTCAGGTTCAAACAGTAGAATTAAAAAAGGGTTTTTTTTATTGCAGCAGTCGAGCCTGGGCACAAAAATGGCACAAAAAATGACGTTTGGCCTATTTTCGAATTCCACTGCCCAACGATGTGAATTTGTGCGAATGAAGGGCCCACAGGGCAAAGGCCACGCGGAAATGGCGGTCACCAAGCCCAAAGGCTCAGGAGTGGAAACGCCCACTTCTGAGCCGGGATTCTGCGCCACTGATATGTGGGATTCCGACTGGGAGGTGACCATAATAAACTATTCAAATAAGTGAAGAAATCACTGAACTTTCTGGCTTGTTTCAGGATGAACAAGACGATTGTCTGTACCGCTCCCAAAGAAGACTGAGCGATCCGAGCGCCAATATTAACAATTTTGTGAGAGGCGGTTGGAGGACGAAGCTGGACGTGAAGGCGAGATCGGAAAGCGAGGGTCTGGACAACTGGGATAATGGTTTCAGTGAGATCGAAGCTGGCGACCTAAGAGATGGTAAGTACCAACTAGCAAAGTAGATTTATAAGATTTTCTCTTCGATTATGCAGGGTGTTCCGTAAGTCGATCGGATCTAACTTTTAATAAGAGAAAATGTCTGGCTCCTCTGCCTAGATTAACACTTTTTGATTATATAGATGTTATATAAGCACACATTTTCCGGGCGTTTTAATACTAAAATTGGCCCGTATGGCGCCAGCATGATTTTTCACTTGGGTTGCATGATTTTCATCTGAAATCCTCAGAAACCCACATTACCACTCACCGCATTGCATGCCAACTTTGCTTGTACATGTTTTCTTACTACTAAGGGAGTAGAAGCAGGACCTTGGCGATCACGAATTTCCTTCGCCTCAATGTAGTTGCCATATTTAGTCAAAAACACCCTCATACAGTTCTCATGTTGCAACCGACCCAAACTAACCCAAATCCCAATCAAGTTTTTGCTTGTTATAGGCCAGACTGGTCCTGCTTCTACCTCCAAATCGAGCTGTTGCGGCTGCTTCCGACGAAGAAAGCGAGGTTCCATCATTCTGCTTGAAATGTATGATCGACCGCCCTGCGTCAATCCCTCAAAATGCGCCCTCAAGGCCCCATTGGGGCCGCCCGAGCACAAGTGCGTCTGTACTCCGCATGTGAACAGTCTGCTGAATCAATCCGAGTACGAAGTGGGCAAGGAGAAGTCGAAGAAAAAGTGCAAGCAATTGAAAATTGTCAAGGATGCCAAAGGGAAACCGAACAAGTACAGTTCGGAGTTTGAGTTTGCTGATGATGCGATCAGTTTGAATGCGGAGAGTTTTGAGGAGCGGCCTCCGAGCAGGGCGAGTATTAAAAGCAATACGTCGATTGAAAAAAGCACCACCGAGAATCCGTATGTTACGGTCAATGGCAAGGAGGAGTTGCCATGTGTGGAGGAAATCGGGAAAATGCAATCGAAAGAACTCAATAAGAACATCAACATTAAGACTGAGGAACTAAACAACTGTCTGGACAATAATAAACAAGAGGAAACTCACACAAGAGCCAACAGAAACTTTGATGGTAACTCCAATAAGGTATCTTCAGTCAAGCAGATTTACTCCTACTGCACTCTTCCGAAGAACGCGAAGAAACCCACAAGCAAAACCAGCCATAAGAATGCCATTCCTCCGAAGCGAGTCACTCCTGATGGAACCAGCATTTACTACTGGTGCGACATTAACAAAAAACATCTAAACGGTAAAGGTTTTTTAGCGTTTTTTGTTATTTTCTCTGTGTTCCTTTCCAACTTTTAATGGCCTTTGGAATTATCTGTTGCAGAACTAGGCGATGGCGCCTACAATCCTCTATGGACGATGAGAGGTTTTACGCAGACTTTTCACTTTTGGAAGGAGAATAAGAGGGCGCAATCCGTACCACTAAATGCCTTTCTCACTTACGTTACCCTGCCATGGTGGAGCATAGCCAAAGGTAATAAGATTCACTGCTTTTCTCGATTTTTGATGAAAATATTTGTCAAGTAGTCCAGGGAGGGAAAGTTGGATACTTTTGCTTGTATCTTTTTAGAGGTTAGGAATTTCGTTACAAACCCAATTAGTAAAATATTGCTCTTCAGACAGCTATCAAAAAGGTCATAACGAAACATTGGATTTTTTGGCTCGCTTAAGAGATATTGGGAGTTTTAAGCTGCGGTGACATCTAAAATTTTACATTTTTGCATCCATCTTTTTAGAGGTTAGGAATTTCGGTACAAACCCCATTAGTAAAAGATAGCTCTTGAGACGAGCTATCAAAAAGGTCATAATGGATCATTTGATTTTTTTTGCTCGTTTTTGACTTGGTTTTAAACTTTGGTGAAACTTCAATCATTTTAGAGGTTAAGCATTTTTGCGCAAACTAAATGAGTGAAAGATAGTTTCTGAGGTCCCTGATCGAAACGGTGCCACAGATTTTTCAGGTAGCTTCGACGGTTAGCACGATGTAAGTGAAAATAGACAAAAATCATCAACATTTTGCTCTATTTCTTTTGAGGTTAGAAATTGAATGAAACTGATATGGACTAGAGATAGGTATGAAACGACCCTATTGAAATGATTCTTATGACACATTAGATAATTTGTGTCGTTTTCTAGATATGCAATGTTTCTTCCTTTTTTTGCTTCTATCTCTTTAGATGTTAACAATTTCGCTTAAAACCTCAAAAGTGCAATACAGTACTCAATACGCGCTATAAAAAAGATCATAATGGCTGATGGGATATTTTTGCTGGTTTCGGAGATATTGGGGTTTTAAGCTGCGGTGACACCAAAAATTTCATATTTTTGCTTGTCTTTTAAGAGATTAGGAATTTATAGAAAAACTGATGAAGTGAAAAATGGTTTTTGAGGTGCTTGATCAAAACGTTTTAACAATTTTTCAGGTAGTTTCAACCTTTTTCAAAGTAAAAGTGAAAATAGGCAAAAATCATCAACTTTCTTTTCTATATCTTTTGAGGTTAGAAATTTTAAGCAACTTCTAATGATTAGAGATTGCGCTCAAACCAAGCTAGCGAAATGGGTCGGATGATCAATTATATATGTTTTCACGTTTTCCAGATATGGACTGTTTTTGCCTTCTTTGCTTCTGTCTCTTTAGAGGTTAAGAATTTCGCATAAAACCCCAAAAGTGCAATACAGTTTTATATTATACGCGCTATCAAAAAGATCATAGTGGCTGATGGGATATTTTTACTGGTTTCGAAGATATTGGGGTTTTAAGCTGCGGTGACACCAAAAATTTCATATTTTTGCTTCTATCTTTTAAGAGTTTAGAAAGTTATGGACAAACTGAGAGAGTGAAAGATGGTATGTAAGATGCCTGATCAAAAAAGTTCTACCAATATTTCAGGTAGCTTCAACCGTTTCCAAGGTAAAAGTGAAAATAGGCAAAAATCATCAACTTTCCTTTCTATCTCTTTTGAGGTTAGAAATTTAAGGCAACTTGTATTGATTACAAATAGCTCTAAAACCGCTCTATCGAAATGGTTCGTATGACTAATTATATGTGTTTTAGCGTGTTCCAGATATGCACCGTTTTTGCAAGATATAAGTGAAAATTGACAAAAATCATCAAATTCCTGTTTTATCCCTTTTGAGGTTATAAATTTAATGCAGCTCATATCGATGAGAGATAGCTTTCAAACCGCCCTATCGAAATGGTTCTTGTAACATACAAGGTATTTTTTTCCGTTTCCCAGATATGCACTGTTTTTGCCTTTTTTTGATGTGATATTGGGTGTTTTAAGCTGTGGAAACCCCGAAAATTGTTAATTTTGCTTTAATTTCTTTAGAGGTTAGAAAGTTTGAGTGACATCCAACACCCTCTATCTAAATGTTTTCTATGACTCATCAAATATTGTAGACATAGTCCAAGAAATGCGGTATTTTAAAACTGGATTTCCTATTTTTGCCTTTCTTTTTAGAGGTTTGGAATTTCTGATCAAACCACATATATGATAGAATATAGTGCTCGATGCAGGCAATCAAAAAGTCTTTAGTTTAAAAAAAAAATTTTGGGTGCTATTCTATTTTAAACATCCGCACGCGCATTTATTTCCACATTTTTGCTTCTATCTTTTTAAAGGATAGAATTTTATAATCAAACCTATTCAGCAAAATGTAGTCTTGGAGACGCTCTAGAGAAAAAGTCCTTACGGCTTTCGAGCTATCAGCAACCGTATCGGAGATATGCCACTTTTAAAACTTTGAAGGCCCTTTAAGAGGGCAAAGGCCTAAACAAGCCCCAAGAATTATTTAGTACAATAGGCACTTGTGGTGGCTTAATGTTCAGAATTAAAATAAAATGTAGGTTGTTGGTTGAGATTTTGAATTACGTGCGATTGACTTTTTTGGGGCGTCTTAAAAAAAACGGTTTTTCAACCCTCAAGTGTCTGGAAAAGGGCAAAGCCCTACTCAGAGGTTTATCTTTTTTATGCCAAATTATAGCGAATTAAATTATCTTCCACAATGGCAATTACGATTGCGATATTTGCAGCCGTTTTCAATCTAGAAAGGACCAAAAAATTTCCAATATTCGAATGTCCCGTTTCATGGGTATTTCGTACTGGGGCAAAAATTACATTTTCGTCGCCTTTGGGGTCGAGTTTCAAAGCTTTTTTATAATTCGTTTTTATTACAACCAAACTTTGTTTATTGATTATTTTATTTCAAACAATGATTTTGTTCCAGATATCCTGGACCACAGAGAGGGCCCCATACTGACGTTCTAGAGGTAAAACAACGATAATCTTGTACGAAAATAGTTTTTTTTTATGTCAATTTTGCGCAATTTATCCAGATTCTGCTTTGGAGTTTCCAAACGTTTATTTGAATTGTTCAGGTTGTTTAAAATCCCGTTTGGCCCCTTAAGACTGTGCCTCCCATGTGAATCAGGAAATAAAACAATTTTTTATTACTGCAACTGAGTTTTTGTTCAAATTCGTCTTAAGAATCCAACGTTGTATGGCGAAAGAGATTGCGTCTAGAAATAATCAGGAAACCGGGATAATGTTGATAGCCCGGGTCAAGTGAAGGCAACTTTGATAAAGCGAACAGAGAAAACAAAGTGGTCACTTAGTGCGGTTGATTAACGGCAGCAGGATGCTGATGAAGGCGTTGCTGCTGGTCCTGTGCTATCAGCAGGTGATGGGAGAATGTCCCCGAATTCCCAGTATCTACCAATCGCGCCACGACAAAACGCCAGGTGATAATGGATACAAGATCCAGATCAATGATAATCCTGCCAAATATGTACCTGGACAACTATACACTTGTAAGTAGCTTCAGAAGCCTGCCAAACGCGGTTGTTTGAGCTTTGAGGCATTTTAGTGCTCCTGATGGGGCCGACTGTGTTGGGCAGAGTCCAGCAGTTCCAGCGCTTCATTGTAAACGTGGAATCCACCGAACATCCGGAGAATATTTCTCCACAAAATGTCGGCAGCTTTCAACTGTACGGCGACAATCACACGACGTTCAATGAAGAGTGCGTTAACACGATTTCCGAAAAAAATGCCAACCTCAAAACTGAGACTTATTTTATGTGGGCGGCGCCCCCGCCGGGCTCTGGATGCGTTACTTTCAGGTAAGGGTTTGTACGATTTTTTGCAATTTTGCCCCACCTCGCGTTCTTAGGGCCATGGTGTTGGAGAATGCGGAGCGCTGGTTTGCGGACGATGGCCGTCTGAGCAAAACATTCTGCGAGCAAACTGATAAAGACATCAAGTTCGATGAGAACGATTGCTGTGCCTGCGAAGAAGCCAAATACAGTGTAACTTAAGATGAAATATACAGTCCAAACCAGGTCTGGATCTGGACTATTTCAGATGATCTTCGAAGGGCTTTGGTCCAAACAGACTCATCCGAAGGACTTTCCGTTCTCATTGTGGCTGACGCATTTTTCGGACATAATTGGGGCGTCGCATGAAAGGAACTTCACTTTTTGGGGAGTGGACCAAATTGCATCTGAAGGTATGGGGGTTTAGGATTCATTCGCTTAGAATAATGTTGAGTATTTCAGCCGATTGAAGTGAAATTCGAAA